GCAGGAGGCGGGTTCCTGGGCCTCTGGTGGTGGCGGCCCGGCTCGGGGGCCTCGGGGCGGGCGGTCACCTGGGTGCCCTTCGCGGGCAGCACGCAGAGCCTTTGTGGGGAAACGGCTCTGACCCACTTCATGGGCCCGCCCCGTCCACAGTGAGTGGCAAGAGGCGCCCTGCCGCCGGGCTCCGTGTTGGGAACGTGCTGTGGGTGTTTGCCGGCGTCTGGCGTCTGATAAACGCGTGTGAAGACTCCTCCTGCGGCTGACGTCCTGTCTCCAGCGGAGCAGACCCAACAGCAATAAAAATGCAGGTGCTGCCCTGGCCCATGTGGCTCAGTGGATAGAGCGTCGGCCTGCGGACTGAAGGGTCCCAGGTTCGATTCCCGTCAAGGGCATGTACCTTGGTTGCGGGCACATCCCCAGTGGGGGGTGTGCAGGAGGCAGCTGATCATTGTTTCTTTCTCATTAATGTTTCTAACTCTCTATCCCTCTCCCTCTCTGTAAAAAATCAATAAAATACATTAAAAAAAAAAACCCAAAAATGCAGGTGCCTCGCCCCGCACGGCTGTCTGAGAGGAACCGCTGTCAGTCCTCTTTCATAAAAGCGAGCTCCGTCCCTCGTAGGGAACCTGGGATGGTCGGGAAGCGCCTGTCAGCCAGGCGTGCTAGGCAGGCTGTGGCGGGACAGGTGACGCTGACACTGACATGCGGTGGCGCCAGCAGCAGGTCATCACCAGCGCTCAGGGCCTTGGTCGGCCGGGCAGGGACTCGTCGGAGGGATTCAGAGCTGGGGCTGGAGGAGGCGAAGGCGCGCTCACTCAGAGTCTGGTCGCTGGTACTGGCAGCTGGCGAGGCCCCCAACGGGGCAGCTGCCACATACCCGGCTTTAGGCAGTAGGTTTGGGCCCCGGCCAGGTGCTCAGTTGGTTAGAGTGTTGTCCCCGTCAGCCAAGGTGTGGGTTCAATTCCCGGTCAGGGCGCAGACCAGAATCAACCAATGAGTGAATGAACACGTGGAACAACAATTCGGTTGTTCCAAATCAATAAATAAAAACAAAAAGTCGGTTCTATCACTCGTCAGGTAGGTGAGGCCAACAGATTACGAGACGACGGCCATTGGCAAGTTGGTTTGCTACTCACAGGTCCCAAAGCAGGGGCACAGGCTGCCCCCGGGCCACTTGGGGAAGCACCGGGGGGGTCAGGAGGTGGGGGAGCCAGGGAAACGTGGACAAGAGCCTTTACTGGGGTTCCTGTGGGATGGGACAGGTGAGCAGGGCGAGCAGGCTTCGGGCTGGCTGGTTTGGGTAATTTCAAGGTCTCCAGGGTACAGGGGGTGTTCCTAGCTTTGTGGTACCTGGTTCTGGGGTGATGAGGCAGGGGATGGCTGCTGGAGTAGGAGCGCCTGACGGAGGAGGTGGGGGGACGGTCTCCAGGTCGGTAGGTTTGCATCTGAGAGGGGAGCTCACAGGTGAGCTGCTCACAATCCAGGGATGGGTGGCCCTGGGAGGGGCAGTCTCCCCGGCTCAGTCAGGCCCGAGGACACACATCAGAAGAAAAGACACGCTTAGCCCACACCCACAAGTGACTTCCCACGTGGCCGGGGCTTCCTTACAACATGGCCGCTGGGTCCCAAGGGAA